CACACACACACACACACACACACACACACACACACACACACACACACACACAGATGGTGGTATATATGCTAATGGCAGATCAGTTACAGAACTCTATATTTAGTTTAAACAACAACACTGTATCCTACAATCAATTTCAAGTCACAATAATCTGTTAGATTTTTTTGTCCAGTAATCCATACATATTGTATTTATCCCTGCTTGCTTCTTATTGGCTGTTTTGGGGATGTTCGGGCTTTTGTTGGACCTGTGATTGGTGCAGGAGGAGCAGCTGCTGAGCCACGAGAGCAAGCTGAAGCAGATGAGTCTGGAGCTGGAAGAACACAGAAAAAAACAGCCCTCAGCCGACCCAAAAAGCCGCGAGTGGGAGGAGTACCGGCTTAAAGAGCACTACCTTACATACGAGGTACAGGCTTTCTGCAGTTGTTCTTCATTTGTCCAATTCTTCCAGCGGAGCAAACAGCAGAGACTAAAAACTGTCTGATTTTAAACTGGTTTAAAAGAAAAGAAAAAGAGGACTAATTGTAGCCTCACACTATGATTAACAAAGACACCTTTGCCTGTTCCTCCTCTCTGCCTCCTGTCCTGTCTTTGAGCAGAAGACTCGCTATGAGACGTACATCAGCCTCCTGCAGGCTAAGATCCGCGCAGAGACCGACGACCTTGAGAAGATCGAGGCCAGCGTGCTGGATGGGTTGATCTCGGATGGCCGGGAGTGTCACCTTCGAAAGAGTCGGTCCTCCCCGTCCATCAGCCAGGCCCACGCCGGCCTGAACGGCAGGGCTGCTGGAAGCACCGTCCAGGGACACAGGAGCTGAAAGAAGAGCAACATGGATGACCAGATGCCACAGCAAATGAAGCAACATCTCAAGAGTATTTAGTAATTAGTAATTAGCGTTGTGGGCTCCTCTAGTCCTCAGCAAGCTGCCACACCCCTTACCTTTACCTGATAGACTCGATCCTTGAGCAATAGATGATGAAGACGAGGAGCGCATCCATGATACCAAACCAGTGTCATGCTAAACCTCACTTCTTTAACTTTTATGGTTTTACATTTTTAATGTTCATGACTGCGGTCACTGTTTATAGCAACAGCGTCAGTATTATTTTATAATCACAGAGAAGGTCTGAAATGATCCAATCTGTTGTTGAATCTTTTTTTAAAGCTACAAGCAGAAATGTGTTTAGGCCTGAAAGAAAACAGACACAGACTGGTTTTGTTGTTCTGGAGTCAGACAAACAGACCAGTCATGGTACTACTGTAGCATTTAGGGCCTTTTTCTTTTAAAACTCATGCATTCACACTCGGACACTCACAAGTGTGTGTGTGTGTGCGTGTGTGTGCCAATGTGGACCTAAAAGTACAGGTGGAGTGTGAAGATGTAACATATCTGTCTTTAACATATTTATTTATTTATTTAACTCTCAGAACCTTTATTTGTCCCAGTAAAGAGTTTACACGTAGATTTCTTGAAGACCTTTCCACACGTCGTGCGCAGGTGCTGTTAAAGCTGTAGAATCTGTTCGATGAGCCGCTCCTCAGACAAGCCGGAGCTTTGAGTGCCTTACTGACGGGCACCTCGTCGCAGAGAGATCAGACGTCTGCTCTTTGAGCTGCAGCCGCCCACATTCATAACATTTGCTTAAAGTTGTTGTCAGGAAGTCAATGAGCATTTAGAAATGTGTTTATGTGATAGAAAGATCTGGACCATGTTCTCCTGCTCTCCTCCTGCTGCTTCTTTTATATTCTGACAGAGCTGATACAGCTCATGTATAACTAGGCATGGGCTCTGCTACAGGAGTTTAACAGTATGGCAGAATAAAAATACCACGAGTTTCAAAACACAATCAGTTAACTGATTTAAAAACTGCAAATACTATTCCTACTGCAGCCTATTTAAAATCAAATAATGCTTAATGATAATAATATAGATATCTTGGTAAAATATTGTATTTATTTATAGTTATTAGAAATTTGATGCACTAAAATATGATGAAGTATTTGGGCCACAACAAGATTTTTTATATTACGAGATTAAAATCGTATTATTATGAGAATAAAGTCATAATCTTACATGACAGGTCCATTTTCTGTTCCTGAATTTGTTACTCATTCCCTCCTCATTTACCTCACACCTGCTGTGGACAGTCATGTATCACTGTGTTTATAAAGTAGTCTGCAGAGACTATCAGGTCACTGTTAGTGTAAAATGCTTTCATCCAAATTACCTGATGACTAAATCAGTCAATGCAGCCCTTAATTATACTACAGCTTCAGTTTATTATGTTGTTTGCACAAAATCCAAGTCCTGCTACTGATAATCTGATGGTAATGTGCTAAAAGATTAACTATTTATTTACTGATACTAAAGAACAACTTCACAAATTACTCAACATTCTTCAATTTAATGCAGCAGTAAGACTGCTTTTTTGGTTTAGAACATTATTCTCTTAATATTATGACTTTACTCTCGTAATATTATTACTTTATTCTCGTAATATTACTTTAATCTCGTAATATCCTGACATTATTCTCATATTATGATTTTATTCTCGTAATATTAGGATTTTATTCACATGTCATTATGACTTTATTCTCTTAATATTATGACTTTATTCTCGTAATATCCCGACTTTATTTTCATAATATTATGATTTTATTCTCATAATATTACAGTTTTATTCTCTTATTGTTATTTTATTCTCATATTATGACTTTATTCTTGTAATATTACAACTTTACTCTCACATTATGACTTTAATCTCCTAATATTTAAATTTATTCTCATATTATGACTTTATTTTTGTAATTTAAACAAATGAAAATAAAAATCTTGTTGTTTGGTCCTAATACTCCATAGTAGGAAACAAATCTGATGAGAATTGAAACAGAAAACACAGTTATTGTATCTAAAACTGTGTGTTTGACAGTTTGCTGTGTATATTTGTACTAAAACTGAAGCCACAAGTATGTTTTAAGGCACAACTTTTACCCACTGTTTTCTACAGTTCAGAGTAACTCCCAAAGGAAAGACATTAGATTAATGGACAGTCTGTCCTCCACTGTCTGTTCAGTTCTATGAGAAGAAGAAGAAGAAGAAGAAGAAGAAGAAGAAGAAGAAGAAGAAGAAGAAG